AACAGGAAAGTCCGAGCCAAAGCTCTGCCTGAGCTGGAGACGAGCTGCGCGGATCCAGTCGATCAACACCTCACTGACATCACCCTTGCTGCGCAAGGGGAAGACTGTGGTGTAACGCGAGTAGTCGTCAACCACCAGCAGGAAGTAGCGCTCGTGACCCTGTCCACGGACGCAGGCCGGGCCCCACACGTCCATGTGAAGCGTCTGCAGCGGTGCCTCTGTCAGAGGAAACTGAGAGGAGTGAGGGGCAGCACGCTGCCGCCCCTCGACACAGGGGACGCAGGTAGGGCCAGGCCCCGGAGGAAGGGGAGGGAGGGACCGGGGAAGACCAGAGACAAGGACACGGGAGGCCATGCCTCGGAGACGAAGCAGGGAGGGGTGACCAAGGCGGTGGTGCCAGAGGAGAGTCTCGTGAGACAGGAGGCGACACGAACAGGGGGCAGACTCAGGACCAGACCTGGACGCTGCAGCAAACACCTGACCCGACGCAGCTACCTGACCAGACGCAGTGACTGGAGGAGACGCAGTGGTCAGTGTGTACAGGCTCGACCCCGGCCGACGTGTAAACGTGGCCAGGTGTCGGCCTGTCCGAGCGTCCGTGCAGTGGGTCACCCGCTGACTCGCAGGAGTGAACTGGTGAACCCCCGCATCCTGTAGGTCAGCACCACTCACCAAGTTCGTAGAGAACGAGGGGAGGTAAAGACCAGACTGGGTGCCAGAGGGGGCCGCCGGACACGGGAGGACAGTGGAGAAGTGAGCAAGGACAGGACCCCCAGAGGGGTCTGCCAGAGAGACTGCAACTGGCCGGCCAAGCGGCGTGAGTGTGGTGCGGTCTCGAAAGAAGGAGCGAGAAGCCCCCGAGTCAAGGGTGAAGGTGTGGGAGGCCGAAGCCGACGCAGTACCTGAGAGAGCAGACTCACCAGCACCTGAGGGAGCAGACGCACGAGCACCTAGAGCAGCAGCCTCGCTAGCACCTAGAGCAGCAGCCTCACCAGTACCTAGAGCAGCAGTCTCAATGCCCGGGTCGGGCGGAAAACACCGGTAACAGTCACCCTCATCACTAATAGTCACAGCATACATGGCAACAAGAATAGCATCAAAGTCAAGGTCAAAGACAGCTACACCCGCCCTAGACAGCTCGCCCCAGCGGGGGATCTCAGTGGCCTCAGGGAACTGGTGACGCCAAGCGTCCGTCAGGCGGCCAAAGCAGCGCTGGGTGGAGTGCGCACCCCAGCACTGCTCACCCGCGCGGTCGCCGGTGCGTAGGACGTAGGTGCACGGACCAGTACCCCCACCCCGCTGGCGTGCAGCGTACCACTCACGGAGCTGCTGAGGGGGGGGGGTGTCACGAGTGCGCTGCTGCTGCTGCTGCTGCTGGCGCTGACCACCACCGGAGCCGACCCTCTGCGCAGCACCACCCCGACCAGCTCCACCTCCTCCGCCGCCGCCTCCTCCACCGCCGCCACCTCCGCCACCTCCGCCCCCACCGCCACCGCCGCCGCCGCCTCCGCCTCCACTGCCGCCACCGACACCTCCACCCCCGCCACCACTCCCACCACCACCCCCACCCCCTCCACTGCCTCCACCGCCACCCCCGCCACCCCCGCCAGCCCCTCCAGCACCCTTGCCCCCCTTGCCCTTGCCGGTGCGGCGTCTCCCGCTCGGGGCAGACGCAGCGCCGACCGACTCAAAACCAACGAGGTCGGCCGCAGCAGCAGAGGCAACAGAGGGCAAAAGGGGGGAGGGGGAACACCCCTCAAAGACGGGGATGCGAGGGTCACCACGAGAGGCTCCTACAGCGACTATGCTCTTCTCCGCTGCTAGGAGGGCCTCCTCGAGGAGGTCAACGGTGAGAGTGGTGGGGCAAACTGAGAGGAAGTGGTCCCTGACTACGCGAAGGGAGTCAGGGAGCCGGGTGACTATGTAGTAGAGGGTGATGTACATGGGGGGGGGGTTCTTGGCGCAGAACTCAGCAGGAAGCGCAGCGCGGTAGCGAGTGTCACTAGTGCGGAGGTGCGTAATGAGGTCAGCGACTGTGGGAAAGGCAGCAAGGTCAGGGAAGAGGTACGGTAGCATGAGGCGGCTCAGTGCAGCAGTGGCAGGGGAGGAGTAGCGCGCAACTACAGCGGCGTACAAGGTCTGAGCACTCTTGTACTGGCTAAAGTGCGCACGCTCAGAGGTAGGCAGGTGGCGACGCACAGCAAGACGTGCAGCAGCATCGCGTGTGGCCCACTGTGAGCGAACAGTGGCGTCGGCATCAGCAGCAGGGGCAGGAGAGGCACCAGAGGTGAGGTCAAAGAGGGAGAGACCGTCTGCCCTATCGCACTGTAGGAAAAGCTGCAGGTCATCTACCCAGACGTCAAAGTCAATGGCCCGACCCTCAGCGTCAAAAGCGAGGACACTAGGGGTAGCCATGACAGCAGTAGACTAGCAGTGCGAACAGTAGGGTAAGGGCAGTGCAGTGACAGAGGCGCTGCTCTTACCGGACAGGGCGGCTCGGGTGGCTCGGCGGCTCGGCGGCTCGGCAACTCGGCGGCACAGCGGCTCGGCAGCAACAGCGGCTCGGTGGCGCGGCGGCTCGGGCGGCTCGGGTGGATCGGGCGGCTCGGCAGCAGCTCGGCGGCGCCGGCGGCTCGGTGGTGACGGCGGGGCCGCGTGGGGACGGCGGCGGGGCCGGGTGGAGCGGCGGCGGGGCCGGGTGGAGCGGCGTCGGGGCCAGGTGGAGCGGCGGCGGGGTCAGTAGAGGCGGCGCCGGGGCCGGGAAGGGCAGCTCCGGGGCCGCAGGGGTAGGCGACGGGGCCAGCAGAGGTGGCGCCGAGGCAGGGAAGGGCGGCGCCGGGGCCGCAGGGGTAGGTGACGGAGCCGCTAGGGCGGCTAGGAGAGGCCGCGAGGGCGGCTTGAAGAGGCCGCGAGGGCGGCTTGAAAGGGCCGCGAGGGCGGCTTGAAGAGGCCGCGAGGGCGGCTTGAAAGGGCCGCGAGGGCGGCGCGACGCGACGGAGCCGCGAGGGCGGCGGATCGGGGCCGCGAGGGCGGCGCGACGCGGTCGCTAGGGGGGCGCGACAGGAAGGGGCCGCGAGGGCGACGCGACGGGGCCGCAAGCGCGACGCGACTGGGCCGCTAAGGCGGCGCGACAGGGTCGAGAGAGGGGAGCGCGACTCGGGCAGTGTAGAGCGCGCTCTGGGCAGGGAAAAGAAAAAAAATGTGGTGGGCCCTAGGAACAGTTCCCATAGGGGAACCTGCTCGATACCATGAGAAACTGAACGAGAATGAATTGACTAAGGGAAAGTTTGGTACAAATGCAAACCCTAGAAAACTGTACCCCATATGTGCTACCCCACTATAGCCTACAGTAGCTATGTCATATAAATCTGACAACTTCGTCTCGATAAAGCGGGAAGGGGGGGGATTACGCACATGTGGGGGGATCACTGCGATCAATCCAAGGCGGGGTCATCGGAAGGAAACTTCCGAGAAACTTTCTTTCGATAAGTCGGGGAAAATATCCCCACTCTCCATAAAGTCTCGAAGTTTCGAAGAAACTTCGTCTCGCTAAAGCGGGAAGGGGGAATTACGCACATGTTGGGGATCACTGCGATCAATCCAAGGCGGGTCATCGGAAGGAAACTTCCGAGAAACTTCCTCTCGATAAGTCAGGGTCCACACAGTCGATACTCTGTTAAGTCAGGGTCCACTAACAGCCTAGTCTGTTACACTGTACTCAAAATCAGGGATAGCTAAACTATTACTCTTATTGGATTCAATAACTCTGAAATTTCAGTCTCCACGAAGTGGAAAGCCTGAAATCACCCTGAAATCAGGGTAATTACCCTGATAAAATCAGCCCTGCTCTAGGCTATAGTGGGTTAGCCTACAAGGGTTACAACACTTTAGGGTTAGTACTTGTACCCAACTCATTCATAGTTCATTCATTCATGCACTGTTATTCTGACAACCACTCGCGACATTCGCCTCGACACTATTCCCGCCACTGTTCACGATGCGACCCAACCTCACGGTTCGGGTGGTAACCCGCGCTCCAGACCTCCGCCTCGACAATTTCGAACCTCGGCGCTAGGCCCGTCGCGCACCCCATTTTCCACACATTACCGTTACCACGGTAGTTTCGCAATATATTCTTAGCTCATTCCTTCGCTCATTGTACTCTTGCTTATTTAGTGCAATCCTCGCTTGCTCGCTCACTTGCTTGAGCAAGGAGGTGAGTTGGGATTGAAGAGGAACATTTCAAAGGGATTGAAATCGCAGTTGGGAATGTTCATTGCATCTGGTTACGCGAAAGTTCAAGCCAGTCGACCCAACGACAATCGGGCATAGCCAACTGGCTTGACAACAACAGCCAGCTGGCGTCGCATTTCGCACGACGGGGTGTGGTTGGTCGCAACGGGGGTGGGAAAGAAACTCAAGGATTGGAGAAAGCGACTTGGATTTCCCTGCCAGCGCTAAACGCCAAATTGGTAACCCGTTCTCAGGGGAGAGAGTTAGATTCCCAGGAGATTAGTCGGGCCGTCGAATCAGCCCGACGGTTCGTCAATCTCTGCTGCTCCGATGGTTCCAAACGTCTGTACTATCAACGCTAGTTCGCGCTTACCTACGATGATTTGGGTTAGGGCAGCAAAAACAGCTAATCCAATTGATGTTCGAAGGCTCGTATCAGACGGTTCAGTATGATTAAACCCACTCGGTGATGTTTCATTCTGCATGTGATTATGTTTCTTAGTCTCGTGCTGAAGATGTACAGGAGAAACAAACGAATGGAAACTAAGCACCTGTAAGACATTATTGTAACCAGCATCTCTTAGACACTGTAATACATCTGGATGACAGGGGGGCGAGGGCTTTAAAATACAAAATAGCAGTAACAAATTTCAAATGGGGCGTGTGGGATTCTACGAGCCTTTGGTTCTGAGGCAGGCCCATTGCCGCAAACAACCAAATCAAATCCGATGGTACGCGACTGCATCATAGTTACAAATGGTAACCAGTTACTTCTTCAACGGCGTGCCAGCTGCACCATAGTCGCAGGTACCAGCGATGCAGGTTCCGCGGCAGAACCTGCCGCATTTGCCGCAGTTCTTCTTGTCGGTGAGAAGCGAGGTGCAAGTGGCGGAGCAGCACATAAAATCGGTGGCGCAGTATCGGTTGCAGCTGCCGCAGTGGTTTGGATCCGATTTCAAGAAGGTGCAGAGTCTGCAAAAACAGCAGAAGAGCAAGGGAGTTAGTTAAAGGCCAACATGGATCAACATAAGAGGCAACAAGGTGGAACAGGAGAATGTTAGAACTCACGAGCCACAGAGGGTTTGGTTCTGCAGGCAGCCATTGGGCTGGACCACGACGTCCCCAGTAGTGCCGGTGCTCCCAGATGTTCCGGTGTTGCCACCACCATTGGTGCTGCCGCCGCCGTTGGTACTGCCGCCGCCGTTGGTGCTGCCACCGCCGTTGGTGCTGCCACCGCCGTTGGTGCTGCCGCCGCCGTTGGTGCTGCCGCCGCCGTTCGTGCTGCCACCGCCGTTCGTGCTGCCACCGCCGTTCGTGCTGCCACCGCCGTTCGTGCTGCCACCGCCGTTCGTGCTGCCACCGCCGTTCGTGTTGCCGTTAGATGCGGTGCTGCCGCCGCTGTTGGTGTTGCCGCCAGCGTTGGTGCTGCCACCACCGTTAGTGTTGCCGTTGGAAGCGGTGCTGCCGCCACCGTTAGTGTTGCCGTTGGAAGCGGTGCTGCCGCCACCGTTGGTGTTGCCGTTGGAAGCGGTGCTGCCGCCGCCGTTGGTGTTGCCGTTGGAAGCGGTGCTGCCGACGCCGTTGGTGTTGCCGTTGGAAGCGGTGCTTCCGCCACCGTTGGTGTTGCCGTTGGAAGCGGTGCTTCCGCCGCCGCTGTTGGTGTTACCGTTGGAGGCGGTGCTTCCGCCGCCGCTGTTGGTGTTGCCGTTAGAGGCAGTGCTGCCGCCACCGTTGGTGTTGCCGTTGGAGGCAGTGCTACCGCCACCTTTGGTGTTGCCGTTGGAGGCAGTGCTGCCGCCGCCGCTGTTGGTGTTGCCGTTGGAGGCAGTGCTGCCGCCGCCGCTGTTGGTGTTGCCGTTGGAGGCAGTGCTGCCGCCGCCGCTGTTGGTGTTGCTGTTGGAAGCGGTGCTGCTGCCGCCGGAGTTGGTGTTGCCGCCAGAAGCGGTGGTGCCGCCGGAAGCGGTGGTTCCGCCACCGCCCGTGGTGGTGGTACCGGTGGTCTTAGTGTTGCCGTTCGAATTGGTGTTGCCGCCGCGGCTGTTGGTGTTTCCGTTGGAAGTGGAGCTGCTAGCGCTGCTACCACCAGCAGCGAGAATCCTCATCCGCCGTAGGCGTGCATTACCGCGTGACGATCGGACAGCGAATCGCTGCACAATGACGGGAGGAAACGGGCAGAGAAACGGATGGTCGAAATATTCAGGCAACGAATTAGTATGGGAGCTGGAAAATGCGAAAGAATACTTGAGTAAAGGAAAGAGATTTGGGATCTGGAGAGTGACCCACTAATGGACCAGAATTCTCGGACCGGGCAAGGCGCCTTAAGCGGGCAAAACTGGCAACTAACGCCAATACTACGATCTTGACGAAGGTAAGCAGCAGACTGACCTCGAAATCGGCGTTCAGGCCGATATCATCGACTGAAGCGGCACCATACTCAGGCAAAAGCGCAATAACCAGCAGCGCTACGGTAATGACTTGGAGAAGCTGAGAGATCTTCATAGTCTCTCTCTTGCCCTAATCTGCTCGAGCTCTCTAACCTGTCAGGAGTTTGCACCCTAATTCTCGGGGAGGTAATATGCTTAAGATACAGGAAACCTCCCTCTCGACTGCTGGAGTAGATCTACAACAAGCGGTTGGTGATAGATGGGGAAGGAGTGGGGTGATGCAATAGCTGAACTTGCAAGATCAAAGTCATCTAGAGGTGACTTCTCGTACGCCTGTCCGTCTGATGGCGCTAGGCTGGTTAGTGTTGTTGCTGTCGTATCTGCAACGTAGATTTTGACTACGTGCCTGGCATGGGCAGCCTCGCTCGTTCAGTTCTTCAGGTTCTGATGAAACCACCTGCGCAAGTCAGGCACAGCCCAACGACAGGACGCAAGCATTCGCAACTCTAATTTCCCAGGTGTGTGCTTCGGAGATGTGGCGAGTCGCAGGATTGACCTAATCGTTACGAGCGAAACCTCGATCTTTGCGATGTGGTTACAGAACGGCACGAAAACACTGGTCGATTCAATTTGGCAAATCTGTGTACCAATTCCAGTGAGTGGTTGTCGCCAGTCTTCGTTAATCTTAACATCCTTTCGTGACAGATGTTCTGGACGTCTGACGCATTGGATAAAGGACAAAAGTCCTCCAAACCCAGCGGCGCTGAGTTTTTGGGGAGAGTTTCTTCAGGTGGGTGGGCAGCGAGGTTGTACAGTAGCCACTCAGAAATGAGAAGCGACAATATTTCTGGGACACTGGACTCCACCAACCTCAGCCAATGCGTTCTGCTTGACGAATGAAACGGAATGGCAGGAAAAACGGGACAGCTGTGTCCCAGCGTGCCCTTCAAGGATTACTCGTTGATAGAATGGCAACACAAATGCGCATAGTACAATGGACATCTGTACTAACATAACATGCAATCAACATACATTACATGCAATACATTTACAAACTTACGTCAGGACATATATGAAATAATATAAAGTATGAAAAAGCATATCCATGATTTATATTGAATGAAAGAATTGGAACAATTATATAAGTAACTGTGTTGGTCTATCAATCCACTTGTTTTTCACAATATATTAATATAATATATGTGCATACATGGAATAGTTGCAATTGTTATGATAAGGAAGTACACTTGGCATTCCTGAACAAGTACAAGTGTTATAGATCACAGTACAAGCAGAGTCAAGCAATAAGCAAGTGAGGAAGAGTAGGCACAAGGCCTAACACAGTAGCAAAGCGCTGATGATCACTAGGCGGAAGTGCCTTGGTGAAGACATCAGCAGTGTTGGCCCGAGTGGCCACGTACGCAAGACGAAGCTGGCCACGCTGCTGCAACTCTCGAGCAAGGAAGTATCGCAGAGCGATGTGCTTCGTTCTGTGCTCCAGTCTGTGCTCCTGACACAAGGCAATCATGGCCTTGTTGTCTACTGTACGTACAGAACTGGAGGCGAACGAGGCTACTCTCCCAAGTCGGTCAGCAGGTAGGTGAGCCAGCGTAGCTCCTGAGCAGCCATGGCCCCGACGTAGATCTTAGCCTCACAACTGGAGCTGAGAACCGAAGTCGAGCGGGTAGACCGCCAAGAAACAGAGCCGGAACCGAGGCTGAAGGTGTAACCCTGTGACGACCGCAGCGTAGCTGAGTCGTCAAGCCAGGAGGCGTCTACGTGACCAGTGAGAACAACTGGACCCCGTCCTCCAAGCACAAGCCCCATGCCCGACGTACTGCACAAGTAACGCAGTACCCTCTTCGCGGCATCCCAGTGCACCTTTCGGTGCCTACCGGGAGCCACGTAGCGAGCCAGAAGGCTGAGAGGGTACGCAAGGTCAGGTCGTGTGCACGTCATCAGGTACATGAGGCAACCCACAAGCTCTGGGTACGGACCACTCGGCTCTACGAACTCGTCCGAAGGTGGAGCTGAGAGCGAGTGGCTGGTAGACATAGGAGTGTTGGAATCACTGAACAGGAATGGATGAACTAGCAATGAAAAGAGTACAAGTACCTAACCCTAGAATTGTGTACCCCCTATAGGCTAACCCACTGTAGCCTAAACTAACACAACATATATAATGTTTGACACACCCCCATAGGCAAAGTGGGGGAGAACTAGGGGTCACAAGACCAGTCAAGGCAAAGCAAGGCAAAAGAAGCTCAGGGTGGATCTCAAGGATACCACACAAATTCCGAGCACAAGCAAGTGGTCACAAGACCAGTTCACATGCAGGTTTATATATAGAGATCACAGTACAACAGACTCAAGAAGTAAGCAAGTGAGGTCCAGTAGGCACAAGGCCTAGAAGAGTGCAAAAGCGCTGATGGTCACAAGGCTGAAGCGCCTTGGTGAACACATCAGCAGTGTTGGCCTCAGAGGCCACGTAACGCAGGCGAAGCTGACCACGCTGCTGCAGCTCTCGAGCGAGGAAGTAACGCAGAGCAATGTGCTTCGTTCTGTGCTCCAGTCTGTGCTCCTCACACAAGGCAATGGCTGCCTTGTTGTCGACGTACAGCACTGGAGGAGAACGAGGCTGCTCTCCAAGGTCGGTCAGCAAGTAGGTGAGCCAGCGTAGCTCCTGGGCCGCCATGGCTGTGGCGTAGATCTCAGCCTCACAACTGGAGCTGAGAACAGAAGAAGAGCGAGTAGAACGCCAAGAAACAGAACCAGAGCCAAGACTGAAGGAGTAACCCTGAGACGACCGCTGAGTAGCCTGGTCGTCTGCCCAAGAAGCGTCTGAGTGCCCAGTGAGAACAACTGGGACTCGCCCTCCAAGCACTAGCCCCATGCCCGACGTACTGCACAAGTAGCGCAACACCCTCTTAGCTGCATCCATGTGCTCCTTCCGGTGACGGCCGGGAGCGACATAGCGTGCAAGAATGCTGAGAGGGTATGCAAGGTCTGGTCGAGTGCAGGTCATCAGGTACATGAGGCAACCCACAAGCTCTGGATACGGGCCACTCGGCTCTACGGACTCATCCGAAGGCAGAGCTGAGAGCGAGTGACCGGTAGGCAGAGGAGTGGGCTGAGGCGAGGAGTACGTGAAGCGGAAGCGCTGAAGGACCTGCTGCACCATGTGTGACTGAGTCAAGGTGATGGTGCGGCGTGCTCTGTCCCGGGTGATCCGCAAGCCAAGATAGCTTGTCAGTTCACCCAGGTCTGTGCACGTGTGTCTCTTCTGCAGCTCCGACTTCACGTGGGCGAGTGCCACAGTGTCAGCAGTAGCAAAGACCAAGTCGTCGACGTACACAAGGACGTAGAACGGCGGCAGTGAGGTGTCGGTGCGTAGAAACAGCGACGGGTCAGCAGTAGAAGGCGCGAACCCAAGAGCCGCAAGCGTAGTCCTCAGTGTGTCGTGCCACTCACGAGGCGCCTGGCGGAGACCGTAGACTGGCCGTCGGAGGCTCCACTGGGTACCAGGAGGGAACGACCCAGTGAAGCCAGGTGGACGGCGCAGCCAGATCTCCTCGTGCAGGCTGCCCTGCAGGAAAGCAGTGCTGAAGTCAAGCGAGTGGAGCTCGTAGTCACGCTGAGCGGCGACGTGCAGCAGAACCCGAAGAGTGGTCATCTTCGGGGTCGGGGAGAAGGTCTGGAAGAAGTCAACTCCCTCGCGCTGACTGAAGCCTCGTGCAACGTAACGCGCCTTGAAGACAGGCGGAGAACCCGGCGGCCGCTTCACCCTGAAAATCCACATGCCACTGACGATGTTCGCCCCAGGCGGGGGAACCTCGTCGACGTAGGTGCCTGTGGACTTCCAGGAAGCCATCTCTGTGTCCATGGCTGACTGCCACTGAGAGGAGTAGGGACCGGCCATCGCCTCTGCGTAAGAGCGTGGGGTCGGGATGTCTGGTGCATCCGGGTCTCCCTCAGGGGCAACAAGCATGGACACGAGATGGGGCAAAGCGGCAGCAAAGCACTGGAACTCCTCCTGCCTGTCCTCAAGGACGTCAGTGCCAAGAGCACACTCACCCCCGACGGACGGAGGACAGACAGACTCAGACTCAGCAACTAGGCTAGCAGCGTAGTCTAGACGACAGCGAGCAGCAAAGTCGACAAGCTCAGCAACTAAGGCAGACGCAGCAGCAGACTCAAAGGAAGGGTCAGTGACAACAGTGGCCAGGAGACGCGTGACAGCAGGACTGGTAGCACGAAGAGAGTCTGACCCAGGGTCAGGAAGAGCAGGAAGAGAGGAAGCAGGAGGAGACGGCAGTGGGACACGCTGTGGAGCAGTGGACGGACGAAGCGCCATCCGGTGAGTGCCTGGGACAGCAGGAAGACGCTGACGCTGGACTCGACGACTAGAGAGAGCAGTGCGGACAGGCGACCCAGGACGAGACTCAGGCGACGCAGGACGAGACGCAGGCTCACGCCGCTCAGTAAGACCTCCAGTCGGACCAGTGTAAGGAGCAGGACCAAGGAGAGAGGAGGCAGACGGTAACGCCGACTGCAGCTGGACAGGCTGAGGACACTCTAAGGAGGGAGGAGGAAAAGGAGGAGGAAGCTGACCAAGAACCTGCTGAAGGAGCGGAACAAAGTACGGCTGAGACCGAGCAGCGACACCAGAGCCAGCAGGGACACCCGCACCAGGGTCCGCAGCACCAGCAGCAGCTCCATCGCCCACGTCCTCAGCACCAGCGGTAGCTCCAACGCCCGGGTCCTCAGCACCAGCAGTAGCTCCAACGCCTGGGTCCTCAGCACCAGCAGCAGCTCCAGCGCCCGGGTCCTCAGCACCAGCAGCGGCTCCAACGCCCGGGTCCTCAGCACCAGCAGCAGCTCCAACGCCTGGGTCCTCAGCACCAGCAGCGGCTCCAACGCCCGGGTCCTCAGCACCAGCAGCAGCTCCAACGCCCGGGTCCTCAGCACCAGCAGCAGCTCCAACGCCCGGGTCCTCAGCACCAGCAGCAGCTCCAACAGCAGCGGGGTTCGTAACACGAGGCACGCCACTGCGAAGAGTGCAGCGCCGCTCGTACCACTCACGGATCCGCTCGCGGGAGGGGAGCTCCCGAACGG